TGGTGTGTGTGTGTGTGTGTGTGTGTGTCTGTCTGTGTCATGGTGTCTGTCTGTCTGTATGGTTGTGTGTGTGTGTCTGTCTGTGTCATGGTGTCTGTCTATATGGTGTGTGTGTGTGTCTGTCTGTGTCATGGTGTCTGTCTGTATGGTGTGTGTGTGTGTGTCTGTCTGTGTCATGGTGTCTGTCTGTATGGTGTGTCTGTGTGTGTGTGTGTCTGTCTGCCTTTCCGTCATGGTGTGTGTGTATGTGTCTGTCCGTCATGGGGTGTGTGTGCCTATCTGTCCGTCATGGGGTGTGTGTCTATCTGTACGTCATGGGGTGTGTGTGTGTGTCTGTCTGTCCGTCATGGGGTGTGTGTGTGTGTCTGTCTGTCCGTCATGGGGTGGTGTGTGTGTGTCTATCTGTCTGTCATGGGGTGTGTGTGTGTCTGTCTGTCCGTCATGGGGTGTGTGTGTCTGTCTGTCAGTCATGGTGTGTGTGTCTGTGTCATGGTGTGTGTGTCTGTCTGTGTCAAGGTCTGTCATGGTATGTGTGTGTGTCTATCATGGGGTGTGTATCTGTCATGGTATATGTGTGTTTCTGTGTCTGTCATGGTGTAAATGTGTGTTTAAAAATAGTGTTTTTGCTCACCTTTTTTTTCCCCACGCAGCGTGCTGGTCTCCCTCGACTGGCCCTGCCTCTATAGCTGAGATCAACAAGCTTGATGATCTCAGCCAATCCAATGCTTTGCCATAGGATTGGCTGCAAAACGCCACTCCAATCAGCATCTCCTCATAGAGATGCATTGAATCAATGTATCTCTATGGGGAACGTTCAGCACCTACAGAGTGTGGAGGCCCTGAATGTAGGTGCACTAACACAGGAAGCACCTCTAGTGACCGTCTGAGTGACTGTCACTAGCAGTGTCACTTTGAAGCAATGTAAACACTGCCTTTTCTCTGAAAAGTCAGTGTTTACGTTGAAAAGCCTGTAGGGACATGCTATAGACACACATTAAGCTGTGTGTGTGCATCTGCTAGTGAGTGAGCTTGCTTGCATGCGTGTGCCTGCTAGTGAGTGAGCTTGTGTTTTTATGTCAATGAGCTGATGTATATCAGTAAAAAAAAATTCTATGAGGCTGTGTATCAATGAGCTTGTGTGTGTCATTGAGATGTCAGTGAAATTGCCTGTGTCTGCATGTGAGTATGCTTACTGTATAATTAAACGTTTTACCCTGAAAGGACCAATATTTTATATTAGAAAAAGCATATATATATATATATATATTACTCAATCATCTGTCCTGGCAAGACATAGCCTTACATATTACACGCGACAATATATGGCGCAGTGACTTATGGGGCTGGCACAAATTTTTTTTCCAGGGCTGCTTTGTATCCCCAGTCCGGCCCTGTTGATGGTCAATAAGTCTTTACGAGCTAAGTTAGCCATTTTGCAATAATCAGATAATGAGAATTGCACAATTTATTCTGATATCCAGTGGGCAGGTGTAGTCACCAATTACTTAGTGAAACATTAGGGCTGTGACTATAATAAGTGAATTTCCTGGCCATTATCTATTGGTTAATCCTGATTACAGAACAATTAATTATTGCCTTGATACATTGTATCTCCAATTACACACTTAAAATATTGTGTCCACATTGACTACAGTGGAATTGCTTTGGGACTAGTAGATAAAGTATTATTTTGTTACAAAGATAAAAAGAATATTTTATTACCTAGATAAAGATTTATTTTATATTCGACTATCCTTTAGTCAACCTCGCTGCAGTTGCTCTAACAAATTAAGTTAGATGGCATTACACAATGGCAATTTGATTTCTAAATATTTCATATCAATTAAATATCAATATCAATTTGTGACATGAAAAACAAAGATCAATAAACATTGTAAATTGAATGGGTTCTATGAGAGCCTGAACACATATTTTTCAATCATAAATTAAAGCGTAATAACTCTAACTAAGAAGTATTTGATTTTATTAATCACTGTATAAATCAAAATTTGCTCTTGGAAGCAAAACTTCAATATAACCTGTAGACACGCAGAGAAGATCTATTTTACTACGAGAAATTCAACTCACTTTTAATAGAGGAAGATTGACCGACCTTCAGTAATTAATAGATAATTAGAATGGTTTGCATACCGCTTCTAAAATCACCAAGCCAATGACAAGATATCCAAGTGAAACACAAACCGGTTATAGAGTTTAGCTATAGATTAATTGAACGTCCAAAAAGACTAAAATGGCTCTGGGTCATGAGGTTAAGTTACGAATATCTACGGCATCAGTCTCACCGACAAGAAATGCTAATAACAGCAAATTAGTGCAACTGGCAAGTGTAAGGTTTGCTCATCCGTTGATTCTGACAAGCGCTATTTTAATGCTGTCACTGAAACAAAATCTGTCTGCTTTATGAGCTGGCCACAGAGGTATTATAACATATTGCAACATCCAATAATTAAGCTTTCCCCATGTGTTCACTAATATCAGGCCATAATCAACAGCTAATGGCACATCTGGTGCTCACGAGTCACGTACAAGCCAACCTCGTTTTTTTGTTGTTGTTTTTTTAATGGCCGTGTACAGTAATAGCAAATTTGGAAATAAATGGTCAGTATAGGGAGCGCAATATATAGAACAATATCTTTCTGTATTTCATTGTAAGCTGTTTTGCAGCTCGCTGCTATAAATTAATGATGAACTGTTTGGCAATATTACATTTTATCCAAGATAAAACTATGCTGATTGGATCAAAGAAATGTCCAAATATAGTAGCATGTATGTGTGTGGTATTTAAGACAGCGAAATAATATATTCCGAATGCTATCTAGCACAACTGCGTATTTCTAATATTTAGATTTTTTTTTGTAGCAAGACGTTTGCAGAGTGACCTTTTGTTGATAGCTAATATAAAAAAAAAAAGAACAAACACAAATAAGGTGTGGTAAACCAATGGCGCTTTGTGATATAAGATAGAAAGTTTTTTAGTTCAGCTGCTATATGCATTCAGTGGATACTCCAAAAACCCACTCTAATAGATAGACACCAAAGCAAACAAATACTTACACAGTGAGTGGGTACAAAAAGACCTTCTCACTATTCAGTAACTAGTGCAGCGCTGTGAGTGTGATATCAGAACAAGTGAAATATACACTGTACACTTACCCCTCACAACAAACAGGGGATATTCATGTAATATAAACAGAGAAAAAAGTATAGAGGGTAATATTGTTTGGTATCAATTATAAATTGGGTAAAATACATTGAATGGAAACAAACTCACATTTTATAGAGCCTTTTTTGGGGATACAGGCTCTAAACACTTCTGCATCTGTGCCTTTAGGTAGGCAACAGCACCTAAATGGTGAACTTTGTTCCTCTTTTTCCAGCAAGTAGTTTATCTCCCAAAAAGAGCAGAAAAGATAGAAGACTCTGGGTGTAGATTAAACTTAAAACAGTGGTGCACAATATAAAACAGTAATCAGTGCTCACCTACTAGAGAGCCTTTTAATAACTGGCTCTAAGTATAAAATGTATGTGTGTCAAATTTGGCAGGCTGACACTACCCACAACCGGATCCAAGGAGCATAAGTAGGAGATAGAGGTGAGTATATAACAATAGATTTATTCAAAACCTATAAAATCTAAATGTATTTACTTATAAAAAATAGTAGACAATAAATACGTCAAAGCTTCCTCCTCTCCTCTCGTACCAAGACGCGTTTCGCCTTTAGTGTCGGCTTCTTCAGTTGGTATACTGCTCTTCCCTCAATGTCCGGTTTTTAAATGTTCCAAATCCCCGCCTTTTTCGTGTAGTCTGAGCGAGAAATCAGCTGTTTCTTCTTTCCAGCCGTAAGTGCCGTCGCGTCACTTCACTTCCGGTTTTTCTCTAGAACTACAAGTCCCGAAATGCTTCACTTTTTCAGTCGTTGGTAACGGAGCTTAGTCCCATAGAGTGTATTAGTGCAAATATTAGTCCATAATAGGCTAAATGTATTGCCAAAAATACCTCACAAACGGCAAAAAAGATTATTAAATATATATATATATATATATAAAAACACACAAATAAGTAATCATAATGAATAGTTCAAAAGCAACTTTTCTGAGAATATTGCACAACCATTATATATTATATGTTTTACATATTAATAACATCATCATAAACCAAAAAGTAACCAATTTTTTTTATTAAATCAACATGTCTCTACACTCCCTACAGTCATGAGACATGTAAAAAAATATACTTTTAAAATTAATTAAATAAATGCATAAAATGTATTCATAAAGTTTTTTAAGTAGTTAAAAAGGATGAGTATCTATAAAAAATGGCACACCTCAAAATCAACATTTAGACCAAAAGGAGTGATTGTATTAAGATTAAAAATCCATTTCATTTCGGTCTTTCCAAGTTTTTAGATTTCGTATTCTCCTCTCCAGTTAATTTCCACTTTTTGAATAGCAAAAAACTTTAAAAGACTTGGGTCACTATTATGTAATAATTTGAAATGTAGAGACACATTATGTTGTTCATATCCTTTCCTAATGTTCCTCACGTGCTCATTTATTCTTATATGTAAAGGGCGCTTGGTCCTCCCTACATAGTATAATTCGCATGGACATTGTAAGATATAAATAACTCTTTTGGAGAAGCATGTGGTCATGGTTTTTAATTTATATTCTTTTTTGTTTTGAGGATCTTTAAAGGAAGTAATATGTCTTTTATTACTATTAGTGCTTCTACACGCTAAGCAGTGTTTGAAAGTGCTTCCCAGTAGTGATGTCTCGAACTGTTCAACGAACGGTTCGTCGCGAACGGTTCGTCGCGAACGGTTCGTCACAAACTGTTCATCGCGAACGGTTCGTCGCGAACGGTTCGTCGCGAACGGTTCGTCACGAACGGTTCGTCGCGAACGGTTCGCTACGAACGGTTCACCACGGACTCATCATTGAGTAAACTTTGACCCTGTACCTCACAGTCAGCAGACACATTCCAGACAATCAGCAGCAGACCCTCCCTCCCAGACCCTCCCACCTCCTGGACAGCATCCATTGTGAAGCTGCATTCTTAGTGAGCTGTCCAGGAGGTGGGAGGGTCTGGGAGGGAGGGTCTGCTGCTTATTGGCTGGAATGTGTCGTTCCCAGTAGTATGTAGAATCCATGAACCGCCAATGTAGTTTTGATGAATAATCACAACTAGAATCCCAAAGGAGCTCCACAAATAATACATTGATTGAAAACATGGTGGCCTGTCAGACCTGGCACATATGTGCACACAGGCATTTAGAGGGGAGCACACCTTCCAGTACTATAGTTTCCATGGCTAAATCCCTAAATCCCTATTAAAACCAGTGATCAATTTATGTTCCAAAATTTCCATTTCCCCAGTTGGGTGTGCCATGAACTCTTTCTGCATGCAGTGACGAGTAACTTTTAGGCTTATCCAGCTGTGTAGCACTTGGCATTTTGGGAACTGTCTTATGCCAAAGAAAATATCGGACAATAATGGAAAATTAGTCAATTTGTTTTATATAATTGTTATAAAATAAGTTTTGATTTTTTTTCTACCATGTGTTCTGCACACATTAACGGTATAATAAGGACTTGTTCATAATTAATGCGCAAAATTTTTATTGCTACTTAATAATGTAGATTACAGCATCTAAGGTTTGCAGATTAATTAGGCACAGAAGTATGAACCTGGAAGGCAATTAGTGTTTATAAAATATTAGAAAAGCATGACTCTAATATTGTTCACACTCAAAGCTTGAAAAAAGTATACAAATACATAAAAATTAAAAAATGCAGAAAAGAAAGAAAACACACAAAATTAAATAACTGATTGATTAGACACCATGATTTTTTTTTTATTGCTTTCATTTGTGTAGGCTAACCAGTCCAAGTTTAAATATTATCTTCTCTGGAACCAGCCTGGAATTTGGGGAACCTTGGCTTGTTGTGAGAGCTAAATAGTTTTGGGTATGGCCACGGTGGGTCTATTCTGGAAAAACTATAGGTGAATTCAATCTTAATCCATATGGGATTAGAAAATATAGATTAAGATTGCATTCACCTATAGTTTTTCCAGAATAGATCCACCGTGGCCATACCCAAAACCACTCTCCTTACATGCCTTCCAACTGTCCTGATTTCAGCGGGACAGTCGCTGGTCCTCTCCCATCATCCCGCCTTAGTCTTTTGGTGTCCCACTTTTGTGGACACCAGGGAACTGTCCTCAACAATCATAGGACAGGCTGACCTGCCAGTAATTTGGGCAGAAACGCCTCATTTCTGGATGGATCCGCACATTTCTGTGCAGGTCCTCTCCTTTGGGTGGAGCAATTGATCTTTACTTCCTTTCCACCAGAATTCTGATTCTTGGACTACATTTGTTGGGAAAGCACTTCAAACTGGGTTTTTGCCTTCTTTTGGATCAACAGCAAAAATAAATGTGAGAAAGGCAGAACTTGATGGATGCAAGTAACTAGGTAAGTTAGAGCTTCTCTTTAAGGTCATTTCAAAAGTTGGAGCTATGTGTGGTATTAAAATACCATTATTAGTAAAATACGGTCACTCTGGTCTGTCTACTTTAAGAAATATTTATTCAGAGACAAACAGTCAGTAACATACAAAATATGACATACAAACTAACTGGAGCACCAAACCCGCAACCAACAACTAAGTTGATAACACACAGTACCATACCCACAAATGGAACATACACTAACTAAAGCCACACGCCCACTATTTACAACTAAACACACAAAACTCCATTAGATTTCACCCACAGCAAGACTCCATTATATACCTTTCCATGATGACACACAGGAAGAGAGAGAAAGAGGCAGTGTGCAGTTATATTTAATGCCTATCCTGTGACCTCACTAGAGTTGTTGACTTAGTTTAACGAATTTACATATGAAAAGCCAGGTACTCTGGATCAAGAGGGCCGATATCCTTGGTCATAACATTTGTGTGACAAGATGTCACCACACTATATGACTATGACTTAAAATGGGCCACATAGTAAAAAATATTTAAAAAAATATCTAAGACAAAGTAGTCCCTACTTTGTTCTTTCCTTATCTCATAACATTCGCCAGTTTATCTAGACAAGTTGCCTATTTGGGATAATGTATTCAACTTAGTATAACTAGTGCTGTACTTGTTGACAATAAAGATTGTCAGGATGAATTAGTATATGTACTATCTATGCCAATAGTTTATATATCAGTATTTCTGAATCTTTTTTTAAGTCAAGTACCCCAAAAATCCCAAATGTGTGTTCTGATAAAAAAAAAGTTGAAAGAGGGGCATAGCCAGGAAATCATATGAGTTGCAGTTTGATACTATTTCATCTTTACTCTGAATTATCAGTATCACTACCATTAACAATAATAAGCCAGGGACATATATTTCATTAATTTTATCCTGTGGTCTTGATGCTTCGTTGTCCAATTTAATGATCATAATTTTCTTGATCTTGGAGATTTTTAAGTTGCATCACATTTTTTTTAATCTTGATCAGTTGATTGATTTATTTTTTTATTAATTAATTTACAAACTATCTCAGCAGGCATTTTGCAGATCCTGTTGCCTTAGATCCATGATTGACTTATTACCTATCATTAAGGCAAACATTCAGACCATGTTGCTTAATTTCAGTGGTTGACTGTTGCATGTACCAATCCTCCAGATATGTTAAATAGATTACATATCTGTGGAGAGTGCCATGGCCTAGACACTGTTATATTATAATACTATCAAAATTTAGGTTAAAAAAAGGTTTGGTAACTTTGTCAGATTCTAACAATCCTCTACCTTTTCTGGCTATAACACGTTCTTGATATCTTTCATTTGTAAGGACCACCGATGGTCTATAATGTCATCATAGCAATCAGATCATTGAAGATTCTGTGCCAACATGGAACGTCCTACTCATTTCGCTATTTTAACTATCTACCGAGATGCTGATACAAAATAGATCTGGTTGGCAGATGGCTCAATTTTCACAGTGGCGTGGATTGACATTGCTTCTTAAAGGGTTAACCTTACCACGGCAGGGTTATTAGTTTACACGAAGAGTGATGTAAGTAGATTCCATGCAAAAATGTATGCCCCTAGGGAAAATCCTAGTCTGGCTAATGAGGAATCACTTTCCTAGAAGGCAAGGTTTCAGCAGACTGAATTCATAGTAGTTGTCAGTTTAGTGCTTAGATCAAGAAAGACTAGAAAGGCTCCTGGTTATCTAATGAATATTTTTTTCTGCAAGCATGCCACCTGTTTAATATTGCATTTTTAAATTGTAATAAAACACATTTGTTTGTGAATGTATTACATACAAATTTCAACAGCATCTGTTTTTCCCTGTGGGCCAATTATTCCCCAGCATGACACGGACTATATTATGAATTTTCTTATTAAATGTATGTTGGGTATCTGTAAAGTAGCTAAGGGAATTATACCATATTAGGCATATCACAATGTGTAAAATAAAGTTGTAGATACGCTGAAAAAGCAGTGTTTGTTTAAAAAGGGCAAGTGGGCAGCCAGGAGACATATATTTAGAGAGTACTTAGCATTACTCAACCATACACATTTGCAAAAATAATGGAATTTAATAATTAACACGAAGGCTTGACTTTGTTGACAGTTAATGTTTGTGTCTGTCACTGAATGAAACAGTCTTCAACATTATTAATCTTTTTAAAGAGCCTTACCCACCATGGAAAACAGTTCTTCCAATGCGACTAAATGCCTTTGTTTCTATCTATCCACTTGTATCATCCATACATGATAATACAAAATAATGATATTTCATACTTAGGTCTGTATAACTCCAATTTACATAAAATATAGATCATCCCGCAGATCCATTTTATCAAGTACTAAACCAGCATGTTTGCTATTACACCAGTGATAAAGATTGTAATATAACATATGACAATTTGAAATGAGGTTGCTGCTCTAATTGTTCTTTTTTAAATTGTTATTTTATTCATACATATTACTTGACCAAATCTTTTCTGAAGACACTAGATGCACGAAAGGGACGGGGTGATGTTGTTGTATTTTTTGTTTTGTCTTGTTACCAGATACTAGACTTGTGTATCTGGTGGTTCAGTTTCGTTAGAATTTTGGTTCACTGAAAAAGATTCAGGAAAACGAATCAGACAAACCAAAAGGACACAAAAATGGGCCAATCAGAAAATTGCAACATATAATATAATTATTATGTATGTATGTTGGAGTTCACTAATTTTCACACAATTTGTTTCACAAACAGACCAAAGGCAAAATGTCAGCCTGTGTTAAAACAGTTTAAACTACAGCAAACCTTAGCAGCTATGATGCTTTGAGTTTTTCTTTACAATCACGATATTACTATCCTGTCACTTTGAAGACTCTAAGTCTAGCAGTTTAACCCCTTAAGGACCAAACTTCTGGAATAAAATGGAATCATGACATGTCACACGTGTCATGTGTCCTTAAGGGGTTAAAGACTAGTGACTCAGAAAAGTACTTTGCCTATCTTCATACCCAAGCATTTTTACAACCATATTTATATGTATTAACAAGTTGTTTATCTATAATTGTCGAGACTGATTTAGCTAGAGCTTGGATGTTCTTTCCAATTAAACATAATTATTTATTTACAATGCAGGCTCTGGATATGCATTCAGTCATACAGTTAGAGGATTCATTAAAATAACAAGTGTGGAATGGACCGATCATTGATCTCTAGATTTAACAATCTAGACAAAAATGATGGCAATATGATATAAAAAGACATTTGGTTCTCACTCATTGGTTGCTTCTGAATAAGGGTCTGTGATGAAACTATTATTATCATCTGTTTATACTTGCTCAATGGTTACGCTGACAAAATAAAAAAATTAGAGACTATCCTTTGTTTGAATAAAAACATGAAGGACAACATGTTTCTGCACTGAAGTCAATTGTTATTTGTAAAGCTCCACTACACATGTAATACATACATATGGTACGCACATTGCCCATACAGTTCTTCTGGAATACTAATTATGGATGGGGAGACAGACAGATTGCACTGGGCGCAGCTTCCATCTGGTCCCTGTGCCCCCTTCCCTTCCTGAGCCAAGACAAATCTTTCAAAATAAAGTCTACAAATAATTTATAGTATCTACTTTTATAATACATATGTTTTAACATTGGATATAAACTTTGGGAATTTCCACAAATCAAGGTTAGAAATTATAATTAAATAAATTAGGTTTTCTAACAACTTCCTGTGCCACTCATCTGGAGCTACAGCGCAAACTGCTGTACCGATGGTACCTAGTCCCAGCCAGAGTCCACCACATCTGGCCGCAATCCACAGACAAATGCTGGAGATGCGGACACCAAAGGGGTACCATGACACACGTTTGGTGGACATGTGACAATATCCAACCCTTTTGGCACGAAGTACAAAATGTCATATCAAATATCATACGCACTTAGGTAACACTCACCCTAGAACTCTGCATTTATTCATCCCCCCAGACGGGACTCCCAAAGCCACATGGACAGCCATGTACCACGTATTAATATCAGCAGTGACACTCATCGCAAGGTTTTGGAAACAGGTAGCAATCCCATCTAGGGAACTCCTCATACAGCAAGTCTCACTCAATTGGGTCTATGAGACAGTATTTGGAACTAAAAAACACTTGAAACAAGCCCATACTATGTGGACAGACTTCCTGACCCGTTCCAAAACACAAGCCACTCCTGATGAGAGCCCGCCCACGTCTACACAAGACAAGAACCCACGGAAACCGCACACTGACCAGACTCCAGCGCGAATCACCCCTCCCACAGCACAAGCGAATACCACCTCTGAGAGACCCCCACCCTCTAACCCCCCCACCCCCCACCCTGACAAGGTTGAGTAAATGCAATTAACGCAATATGGGGATAGAAAGCACAATAAGGAGCTATTAGCCACCCTCACTAGACACAGTAGCCTGTTGACTACAGAACAATGTATATAGAGCACAGAATATTGATTACTGTCTAATGTATATACGCGCCTACCTATGTAACCGGATGCAATGCAGGTCCTATATGTGCACAGCTAATGTATTCATAGACAATGTGAACAA